TAACATCTGCTAACAGTAGTTATCCTCTCAGGTGGAAAGATTTCCTGGTTTCAAGAAATAAAAAACTTTGTAGGCTTGCCTATTTTAACATATTAACAGAACATAGGTAATGATTTACAAAAATGTTAACTGAATATAATAAATGCCATCACATGGCCACACAGCCTGCCGACAGCTTAAGGACCATAATTGAGTAAATCTCCTCAGTATGTCTGCCGAAACAGAAAGGACCATTAAAAATATCAATCCCTGACCACAGAATAACTAAACAGGCTATGATGCATCATAGCGTCTTCATTTCTGTTGGACAAAATTATAAAGGCTACGCAATTTACAGCCATGTTGACAATACAATAGTTTGTCTACAGGCAAAACCACTGAGCAATGTTTCCATTGAGGTCTGCGTTCGCCTTTAGTCATTTGACAGTGGAAAATAAATGCTTGTAGACAGCAGTCATCCTTGCAAATCATCATTGCAAGGCAAAACAGGGTTTTTTTCAGTTTGAAAGTGCAGAGGCCCCCCAATCAGCCAATGAGACGGCATTTTGCGTCCTCTCTGGAAGTTTTGTTAGCATCTTTCCCTGTGCACAGTTTTAAATTGTATTTCTGTCAATAGATCCTCCTGAATATTACACACTGAACCTTTAACATGGCAGAAATCCACAAACTGCCAAACTTGCAAACATGTGTGGATACACATTTGTGCATCCATTTCTGTGGCACAAGGCGCATGTCTGCCTGTGCACCATCTGCTTCCTAACTTGCATTTTAAATCGCCCCAATTTTGCATTTTGCCGTAATGGAAAGTGGCTTTTTTAGTGTTTGACTCGCTGTATGAAAATCCGTACTAGGGAATCAATGGACATTTGAATTTCAGGACAAAATTAACTGAAAAACGGCCCAAAAAAAACAGCAGCTTTGAGTATTAATTTCAGAAACCTTTGCTCTCAGATAACACACCATGTACGCAACCAAAGTGAAGTGATAATTTTTGTCCACCACCATTGTTGCACGTGAAGTTTCGTTGCCTGCCACTGTATCTGTGGTTTCCAATGCAATGCAGTGCAATCACGTTATCTATATAGGTGACTTTTATGATTAACCAATGCTTTCTTCCTCTAATTGGATGTCCACTTCTCATTTTCCTATTTAGGACCAAATTACTAACATGCCATATATCTACAGTGACAATTATCTGCATGCCACTGTGTTTCTGTATCTGCAACATCCATAAACTGAATGTAGACAGTTTTGTAATTGTCTTTGAAAAATCTATAGCAAATTTTCTTTCACAAGATTCACATCAGAATAATTTCCTGTGTAGGTGCTGTGTTTCTGAAATAAAGTGTAACTCTAAACTTTTAGCCTCCCTGCACCTTGTGAACTCAGTTTTTATCTATTTCTTTTCTTTCAATTATCTTCCTACCTTAACGCATAGTTAAACGAACATTTATGGTCATTGTCAAAGATAACACTTAAAAATTGTCCCCCAGTTATTTGCAGTAGTTTGATCATGGCAGGTAAATGTGATATAAACCATGTACTTTGTATTTTGGACATGGAAGTTGTGGGACACTGCCCTGATTTAAACTCTTGGTCTTGATCTCTCCATAAGAATGTTATATAGCTTTTTTAGTGGAGTCTTTACTTTAAACATTTTACCCTTTTTACTTGAAGTTCAACAGCTGAAGAGAATCAGAAGGCCTGCAGTCAGTTTTGTGTTGCTTCAAGCTGAAGTAATGCAACACTCTGTGGTGCTTTCATACTTTGTTAACAGCAAAGACCAGAGCTGATTTTTCCATTGAAGCTGGAGAGAAATCCCTCTGCATGATGCTAATTCTTCTTTTAAGTTGTGAGTTTATTCTCAGCTGTAGTCTCACCTTACGTTTCCTGTTTTCTGTTCCCTTGACAGAGGACATCGAGGTGCGTTTTTTCCAGGACTCCTGGGAGGGAAAGGGCACATTCTCCCAGGCGGACGTCCATAGGCAGGTGGCCATTGTGTTCCGCACACCGCCGTACCGTGACACTAACCTCTCTGAGCCTATTAGAGTGAAAATGCAGCTCCGCCGGCCCTCTGACCGCGAGGTCAGCGAGCCAATGGACTTCCAGTACCTGCCTGCTGACCCAGGTAAGGGGCAGTGTTTCCCCATGTTTCACTATAATGTCACACAAGTTACTAATCAGAGCTTTTCTCAAAATACCTGAGAGATGAATTTGTTGATCCACTCTATAAACCCAGTCTTACAACTTATTTGTTTAATGATCCCTGTAGATGAATACAGGCTGAGTGAGAAGAGGAAGCGTACTGGGGACATGTTCCAGAGCTTGAAGCTGGGGCCCATGCTATCAAGTGGTATGTTGTTTTTTTTTTTATATATATATAATTTATTTATTTATGCTCTGTATATAAATAAGGTAAGTGTTTAGTGTAGTTGCAGTGTAATATAATCATGTCTGTTGGAATTTCAGTGTCCATCCCACAAGACAGACGGCACATAAGCCCAGCAAGGAAAACCGTCAAACCTCTGTCGATGAATGCACAAGCTGGTGGTGAGTCTGTTTAATTTGTTCAGAATCAGCTTTATTGCCATGTGTACTCTGGATTGTACATTGCAACACAAAAAGCACTACGGAGCATAATCCAGAGGCGGCCATCTGCGGTGCCATATTAGATGATGATTCATAGTAAATATAATGATTTGTTTAATAGAACTAAAAGTCAATTAACTGATTAATCTGAAACTATTTTGATAATCAATTGTTGTAAATTATTTTTTGCTGTTTGAATACCTACTTTACTGTGGTGAAAGTTGAAGTCCCTAATAAAGTCCTTACAATAATTTTGATGTACTGTAAATCTCCACATCCAGTCTTAAAGATATAAAGGCAGCAATTGAATGTGTGTAGCAACAAAGCTTTTTTTAAAGCAACCTTAAACTGATGATTTTTGTGGCTACTTTTCTGCACAAAGAATTTGGTACTACGACATTTTCAGCAGCAGAACTCACATAGCTTGTTGTGTCTCCAGCAGCTGTGGTGCCCCCTGGTGGCAGTGGAGCGAAACCACAGCCCTCCTACTCTTACAGTCAGCAAGGCCACCTCTTCTCAGTCCAGCCCAAGGTAGAGGCCTCCTCTTCCATCTCTGCTGCAACTACAAACCAAACATGGAGGATCATGGAGAGCTTAAACCTGGGCTCCCAACCTAAAGCTACTCCAGTGCCCAACTTCACAATGAACCAGACACCAGCCTCCTCCTCTACCACCACCTCCACCACCGTCAACCAGGACTACTCCACTGTCAACATATCAGACCTTCATGAATTCTTTCCCAACATTTCCTCAGCCATGACCCAGGAGCCGGCAGCTTCTCAGGCAAGCGCAGCCTCCTCACAGACCAGCAGCTCCTTCACAATCCAGGGCTCTCAGTTCCGGATGGACCCACCACTTACGGACGACGATATCCCTGAGTTCCCTAGCTTTTCCGAAGCCCAGGCCCCAGGCGGGCTGGACAACCTAAACATGGATGACTTTGAGGACCTTCTGAACCCCCCCCTCATGAATGAGAGCGGAAACGGCGCCTCAATGTTGTCTCATGTTTCATGCCAACAAGCTGCCCCTCACTGCTCCTCTACTGCTGCCCAGAACAATGCAGCATCCCAGAACACTTCGGACCCTGCCAGCAACCCGGGAAGCACCTGGATGAATTACCCCAACAGCATCGTCAACTTGCTCCAGAATGAGGGCATGATTGACATCGCACCCAACAACAACAACAACCACCGGCCCGCTGTGCTGGATGAGTTTGACGAGTTGATGTCTGCTGACGAGGATCGTCTTATTTCCATTTTTAACAATGGAAGTCAAGCTGGGTTTGTCTCAGGACACCCGACTTAGTTTGTATATGTGATTTTTTTATCACGGACATATTTACATAGACCACTTGTATCTGCCCCTTTAGTTTTCAGAACTAAAACTCCTTTGTTGTCACTAAAGACAAAAAAGGAAACAAGGTGGATATGAAGGGCAGTAAGAGACAGAATGTAGCGAAACTGCTTACTGTGGACATGCCTATTGAAATACCTGAAAAGTGTCTTTATGGTATTCAACTGGTGGGTTTCGCCAATCCTTACAAACTGTACGTCTAACAAATGATAAAATACGACTGAACATAATCAGATTCCATCTCCCCTGTCAATGGTGCGTTTAGCAACGATCATTAACTTTTTCAGCCCACGTTGTCATACTGATAAAATATTATCCACCAACAAATGTTGCTTTTATAAAGACAATAAGATCAGATGCATCTTTATAATGTTATTTTCTATAGAACATGTTAAGCATGTTTGCGTACTGTATTTTTAAAACGATGTAGGTAGGTCCGGTCAGTGTTGACATAACTATCACTGTCTTGAAGTGACATGTAAATTTGGCCTGCCTTTTTTATTTTTAACAAAGTGGCGGGTGTTCTCAGTAAAAACTGAATCAAATTTAGAGGTGATTTTTAATTACATATCGCCATGTATTAATAGAATGTCCAAATTTCTGTAGGTGGGCAGGAAAAGGTTTCTTAAAAAGGTGCCTTTGTTGAGTCTCAACAAAATGTAGTTATGTGTACCAAATGAAGGTCTGCATGTAAATAATTATCAAACGAGCAACATTAATAAGTACATGCTTATAGCAGAGAAGCTTACACCAGAGGTCCATGCATCAGGTGTTAGATCTTGTTGTGTCTGGCGATATATCCTCTGGTTTCTTATCAATCATTTTTTCTACAGTTATTTCATGGATAATGGCTTAACTGTTCGGCAGCATGTTTCAAATCTGTAGGTCAACTTGCTATTATCCTGTAGTAAAATATGCTTCAAGATGAAATTACGCTGTTTTATACTGGTATGCTGTAAGCAGAATATGTTGTATGACTCTTTGCTGTAATGATTGAATAATTCTGTCTAAAGTTTCAAAACACTTTACTTGGCAATAAAACCCACAACATATTAAGATGTCTTCAAAAGTAGACTTTATTTGGCTGGATACTTTCATGGATCAGTATAAAAAACATAAAGCCAAAGAAATTCTTCATTGGATGCAAGTATTCTTCTAAATGTTGTTCAGACAACCGCCTTGTCAGGTAAGTGTTACAAGCAGAACCTCTAGAACACAAATACTCATTACTTCTGAAAACAATATATTCAATACAAAAACGTGACACTAATTCAGGTCACTTGGAAAACATTAGCGTGAGAAATAAAGGCTGAAATACGATTTTGTGCTTTCTTGCCACAAGGAAGGGCTTGATGAAAATTCAACCACTGACGTCCAAAACTGTAAGTCAAGTGAGTTGTACTGCGCAACCCAGTGGATGGCATCACAAAGTGTCTCTTCATTTACCTGTCCTACAAAACTATTCTCTTGTTCTGACAGGCTTATGTTACTTCAAGGTTGGTGACTTTGTTGACAATGTGGGATCGTCTGGGTACACACTCCAGGTCAAATTTGCTTTCATAAATTGTTGGACAAAGCTTCCAGCGGTTGTTTCGGTAGATTCCCAGGTGTGTGTACACATCTGGCTTGTAGAAAAGGGGGCATTTGACCCCTGTGGCACGGATGATGGAGTCCAGTCTTAAAACCTCACTCTCGTCAGTGAAGTTCTGGTTGTAGGCACAAATTACATGCTTTCCCTCTGCTTTGGGATTATGAGGACTGACTTTAACTGTTGAGATCTTGCCATCCAGGGCTGCTCTGGCCACACACTCCCAGGCACGGTCCACCTTGAAACCAGAGTCCAAGTGCATCAGCCACTTGCCCGTGAGCACGCTGTGGTTCAGGGCCAGCTCCTTCACTGTCTGGAAGCTGACAGGCCGGCCACTGGCCAAAAGTTTCTCCCAGCTCTCCTGGAGACCCGTAACATCCCCACGGCTGGGGCAGTAGTTGGTGCCTCGCACAGCGATCCACCCAACTGGGCTAGCACCACCTTCCTCGTCACCAAATCTGTACACTTGTGAGGGCCTGTTGCTCTCCAGCCAGCCGTCAAACTCGGACCTGGGAGTTCTTCTCGAGTCAAACACAATCCAGGGGTCCATGTCTGCAGCCATGGCCTCAGCAGCATAGGTCTCTGCAGCAAAGGGGGTCTCCACCTCGCCATCTACAGGGGCCTCTTCCTCCTCCATAATGCCGTCAGTGTAAGGCTATTAAACAAGTCCTGGTGCGTGTCCTGTTGAGGAGGGAGATCTAGTGTACTTTGATATTTAAACCACAGGTGCAGCCTCTGTGTTCGTCTAAAGTACAAACGCATGCGGGCGTGGACAGCTAGACTGTAGATATTTACTAATGCTGCTAGCTAGCCTGCTACATTAGCAACAATTGTTCAATAGCTAACCTCTGTCCACCACCTATTCTTTTACAAAAATAAGTTGCTATCTATTTCGTTTGTGTCTCGTCTGCAGTTTGTATAATTAAACACGCAGATTTAATTTCATGTCGCAATTTAATCTTATTTTAGCTAGCCGGCTAGCTAGTCATTTTACCAATCGTCCACAAATCGTTGACAAATTTGGAGAAAGCTTACTCACAGCCAGCTATTGAGCACAACTTACGTTAGACCATGCACAATTATCGCACACTGATCTCAAACTATTGACGGTTAAGGCTGAAGTTAACCTAACTTAACGTTACCTGCAGATTTTGAGTTTTGTTGTCCAGTGTTGTACCGCAAAGGCGCAGCCCCGGCGGTGGTATGCTCCTCTCTTATCACAGAGAGATATGATAATCTCAGTTCAAATGTCAGTTTATGCCTGGTTTATCGACCAAATCACGTGCCTAGGGAGTTGCTTGTTCTTTTGATAATAAAAAATACTCAAAGTGCGCTAGTTAAGCTACGTTGTTAGAAAAAAGACAATACCTCCCTGCTGTAGCACAATACCGTTATTTCAAGCATAAGTTATGGTATAACAGTAACGTTCTAAATTTACTTAGCAGAACGTTAAGTTACGTATCCAACGTCTCTTAAGTGTAACGTTGACAGGTTCATTGAAGTGTTTAAGTTATATTACAGCGGACATTCATTTATTGGTTTTTATTCCTTGTAGATATAAAACGCAACAAACTCAGCGTTAGTGTTTTATTAGCTCAAAATGACCGCAATGTATACATATCCTTGTACAAGTTGTGGGACGTCGTGCGCTCCAACATGACGGCGCAGGGACCCTGCGGAACGAAGCTGACCCGCAAGGCAACAGGGACCGAGTGACGACGGCGTGCTAATGAGTTAGCCGGTTAGCTACTGCTATCTAGTGTGTGTGTGCGCGCGCGCAGTGGATGTGATTTATATATGACATAGAATAGTACTCCAGAATATATTGTATTTTATTTTTAGGGTTAGCCATCCAGGTAATTTAAGTATGCCCAGCAAAAAGAAGAAATACAACGCCAGATTCCCTCCGGTAAGTTTAAACCTTGCTGAACCGGTGTTAAGACTAGCTAACAGTAGCTAACTGTAAAGCTAGCTTAAATGGGATTCGGCCTGTGTTTTTGACCAGGGATCGTTTATTACTAAATGTACATTACACTAGTAACAGCACGCAAGACGTTGGTTTCATTGAATTGGCTAACTTAATGTGCTTCCCAGTGTTTGCTAAGCTTTATTAAGGCGTACGGCGCGAGTAAACTAGCGAGTCCACTAATTAAGGTTGTTTTTAGCATGACAAGCTAACGTTAGCTAAGTGAAACTAAAGGTTATAATTCTGAGCAAATCTGTTGTTTGTTGGTAATATATGAAGCAAACTAATGCGAGGCAGACACAGTGCGTACACTATGTTACAGAAAGTCTGATCAACATGACGGGAACGAAAGGTTTTAAAGATAAATGCTATGAAAGTTCTTTAAAGATGTCGACGATTCAAAATGTGTTGTAAGTTAACGTTACTGTATTTTGGTAAGTTAACATCTAAGTATCGGGCCTTGTGTTTTGATACACAGAAAGTTATCTTGAAGTCTATAACTTAACAAAAACGATGAAACTTTACAGTGTCGGTATATTCCCACTCACTGACTTACTGTAACACTACTCAAGTACATAAAACTAAACCTTTTCTCATTACAGGCAAGGATTAAGAAGATTATGCAGACAGATGAAGAAATAGGCAAAGTGGCTGCAGCAGTACCTGTTATTATTTGTATCCTTCCTACCTAAAATCTTCACAGTTCCAAGGTTTCCATGATCAGTATGTGTTTTGAATGCACAGAATGATGCCTAAAAATAATAATAATAATATAGTCTGATGTGGTTGAAACAGTTACTTGCTTAATCAGTAAACTAACAAGAAAGTTAATGTGAAATCAAGCTGAATATCCTCAGTAGTTTTGGGCTGTTGGTCAGACACAAGAAAACATTTTCTCAAGTCTTGGGTAACTTGTGATGGGCATTTCAAAACATTACTTACAGGTTAATCAGTGATAAAAAAAAAATCAGTCATTGCTAGTCTGACTCTATATTGAGTAGAAGTCATGGTTTGGCACACTTATCTGTACTTAATAACGGTTAGTTATTAGTGTAAAGTGATATTTGTTGTGTCTGTTGTATTCACTGTAATAGTAGTCACAATCAGCCCACTGCATGTTGTTGCTGTTCCTGTTTTACATTTTCAAAATTGAATGTTGTTTGGGTCTGCACAGTCACAGCATAAGCGAACCTGTTTTATTTAAATAAAGGACACAGACCTGCCGCATCATAATTTCCTTTACCGAGACGTCAGCGAGAGCCCTGGAGCTTTTTTTGGAATCACTGCTTACTAAGGCCTGTCATGTCACCCAGTCTAGGAATGCAAAGACAATGACAACATCGCATCTGTAAGTTTCTGTGTTTGTGTGTGTGTCTTGATAAAAAACCTGGGCCCAGTTTCAGAATGTGGGTTTAGTATTAACTCTGAGATGAAGGAAACTGTTGAGTTTTTTGTTCCAGAAAGGGAGGTAAATTAATTAATGAATCAGTCTGTCGTCAGTGTAAGGTCAGAGATGGCGCTCTCTCTGTACATCAGAGCTTCGAAAAAAATCTATAGGCTACATCATCTTTCGTAACACTGTGACTCTGTGGATGTTCAGGCAGCTGTCAGGTTGTCAACCAGTTCCCGTAGGCTACATTATTGTTTATATAAAACATATATGTATGAAGCTTCAGGCACTGATCAATGAATACTCATTTGTCATGTTGTTTCTGTCATATTTAGCATTTCATGTTGTAGATATTTAGATTTAGTGGTGCAGCTTTACTTACTTTTTAGATTCCAAAACTGGATTAAATGTAGTTTAAAAGTAAGTTTTTGAATATGGGCTGCATATAGTATTAATGTGTTTTGTGTGTTTTGACAGACTTTCAGTGTCATTGTCGAAATATTTATACACTGAATGCTGTTGAGAAAGAATTTTAATGTAAAATAGATGCCTTAAAAATGTATAGTCAGATTGAACATAGACAGATTTTCAACTGCATATCACCAAAATTGTCATTACTGGGTCGGACTGTGACTTTACAGTCATAGGTCCGTGAGTAAACTTAAATGTTTGATCCATATTTTCATCTTCAGTTGCTGCCACCTGCGTTTTGTCCCGTCATGTTACAGCTGAATAAATAGATTTTAAAATGAAACAATGCGGTATAGGATTTCAGCACTTCATTCATCATCATCTGCATTAAAATGGAAGCTCTGCTCTTTATTTACCCGTTGCCGTGGTGAATCATAGCACCATCCCCCACACACAGGCATAACAGAGTGAACCTACTCAGCTGAACTATCTCAGGTCAGCTGTTCTGCAACCAAATCTCAGAGTTCATCAACTCAGACTTCAAGTTTAGGCTCAGAGTTTGTCAAACCTGCTTTTTGAAACAGGCCCCTCGTCTAGATTGCACTGCATTGAAGATTGACTAGTAGTCATCCTCTGCTCAGTTTATTCTGACTGACATGCCATAGATATATAGAGGTTCAGACAGCTGGATAATAACAGGAAATCATATTAAGGTTGTAAATTGACTGTGGATACATGTAGCTGGAAAGGTTTTCATTTCCTTTAGATTTAGACAAAGACACTTTAAAGCACGCTATTACACAGTACGGTATATTGCACGGGTTAGGATTGGGCCGACAGTCATCAGCCACTGAGCCCTCTACCATTGTAACGTAGTGATTCAGAAAGCATTCGACAAGGGATGCGTGTAAGCCTGTGGAGAAAGACATGTACTGATTCAAAATTGTGTGTTCACAGAAAGCAGTGTATTGAGCTGGAGCAACAGTTTGATTTCTTAAAAGACCTGGTGGCAACGGTGCCGGACATGCAGGGCGAGGGGGAAGAGAACCACACTGAGGGGGGAGGAGAAAAAGTCCCACGCAGGTATCTCTCTCCCGCACACACACACACACACACACACACACACACACACACAAACACCCCAACATAATCGTATAAGCACCACGATTACAAAGAAATTGAAGAAACAGTCAATTCAAAGTTGACACCAGGAAACTAAGATCGGCAAGGTTTCACATACATCACTATACCAGGATGATAATTTGCCCTGTCCAGTCACTCTATCCTTAATCATTTGATTAGTGAGCTCATCATTCATTCACACCACTATGTGAAAGAATTGAATCGCTCATCACAAACATAACAACACTGCTCAGATGGACGCAGGGAGGGTTACATTTGCTTTGTTACCATGTCACTGTTTTTGCTTTGTTTTGTGATTATAGATTAAGTACAAAGAGAGCGCACATTTTTCAGCTCTACAGAGCGAGAACTAATTATTAAGGATTGTAGGGAAGAAAAAACCGAATTGACTGTCAAATCAAACCTTGGCACTGCTTCTAAATTGAAGCTAGATAGAGTGCTTGGCAGAGAATTACACGCATTAAATCAGTAAGAAGACTTCTTTTCACTGAAGAGTGTGGCTGATTCAATTGCGATTCAATTAAAAGAGGTTGTAAGCTCCAAATATTTAGACACTTTGTCTCAGATATGGGAATGAGGGATGTGCAGTCACAGCGTCTTTGAATATAAATGGCAGACAGTAATTTCCACCAGCTGTATCGGTCAAGTTATCCTCTGCAGAATTGGCTGTGTTTATCTGAATGGGCATGGTGGGGTAACTTTCCCTGCAGATTTATGCTTCAGAATGACTTTCTAATTTTTTGTTTGTTTTAAAAACTAATATTCAGATTAGGGCTGAATTATTAATCATAATCTAATTGAAATCACAAAATGGCCTACTGCAATTTTCAAATTACAGGAGGAGCAATATTTGTGATATGTGTGTCAAAATACAAATTTAAATGAAGATTGTTGTGTTGCAGAGATGTTCTGGCCTCTGCGCCATGTTTAAGTAAAAATCTTTGTTTGTTACAGATCCCCGCAAATATCACATCATTATTTATTTTAGTATGTTTTTAAATAAAAATGAGAATAAAGACGTAACAATGATAATTCCCTCTAGTATCACAAATTGTATCGCATTTGCAATATCATTCAAAACTATCAATATTGTATATTTTTTCAAAATCGTTCAGCCCTAGTTTGAATGTAATTTGTTTTTGGTTTTATCAATCAAATGGTTTCTGCACAAAATATTAAAAAAAAAAAAAAAAAGTGTAAATCTTTGTCTCATGTTGTTCAAAGTACCTTCAGAAGAAGTCATTTAAAACTGAAACTGAAAACTTTTTGATGTTTAAAAAAAGCTTTGTCCCAAAATTCTCCCACCAAACTGTCTTTTGTAATTATGTCACTACATAATACATTTGTTAAATCACTGTAACTGTAATGTTAGTGTATTCACAGGGAATATGGCATGTTTTTATTAATTAACTTTTACATAACGTTATTTTTTTTGTTGTCTCCTCCAGGGGTCGAAAACCAGGGTCTGGTCGCAAGAACGGAGGGGCTGGCACCAAAGGCAAGGACAAGAAGTTGTCTGGCACAGAGTCAGAGCAAGAGGTGGGAGTTAATTTGCATGCAGAGGCAAATGGCCATCTACAGATTTCCCATTGTCCCATTCCTGAGTGTGCAATGGGACATTTTGAGCCCCCCAAAATGTTTTATATGCAAGCACATTAAATATTGTTGAAGAGAAAATTATCATCACACATAAGCAAACATTTATTTTGGTGTCTGCTATTGTCCACAAGTGCCAATCATAACATCTTCTTTAGTTTTCTTCTTATTAATTCCCTGTTGTGTGCTTGCAAACCCATGCTTGCTCTCTCAGCATATCTGCTCTGTGCATTCTCAGGTTTGCCTTTATAGGTTTTGGTTACATTCCTAGTTTATGAACTTTTATTTAATTCTCTTTTGTGTGTTTTGTACCTCCATAATAGTTGTAGCTAACTGAGCTATTCAGCTAATTTTCCCTGATGACTGCCAGCCACTAAGCCAAGGTATAATAATCCAATCAATCATATATTAATCTAGAAATGCTAACATTTACAAGTTAAAGCTATATATTTTTTAATAATTACTGTATATTAATGATTATAATGCCTGGAATCATCATGTCAGTCAACTAACTGAGCAAACTATGGTTTATCTTGAAGATTGCTAGCTGTCTTTGTAGATATTTACAAACTAATATACTACTTCACTAGTAACCAGATCCTTCTAGTATTCGGATTAGAAACAAACAGCCAATCAGAAATGACACTTTACACTGTAACGCTCGGACCAAGCAGAGATGTTGAGGGAGCAACAGGAACACAGGGAAAGAGCAAATGAGTTAAACTGCGCGAAACAGGTTAGAATAAACAATAGGAAACATGCAAATAATTGTATTGAAAATAGAGATTTTTTTTTGCAAACTTAAATGATACTTTGTGTGATAACGATAATGTAGTTGTACAAAATAGTCTTCTGTGCTGAAAATATCCCATCATGCGGTCAGGAATAAAATTCAAATAAAACTCCAAGCAGTTTCAACAATTTGTGTCTGTTTGAAGTAAGAAGGCTCACTGGTGTGTTTGTTGTGATGGAAACAGGATGACTCCGAGGACAGCGAGACAGATGGAGACGAGGAGGACGGCTCTCAGTCAAGCACAAATCAGCAGGCTGCATCCAGGTTCCACAGGTACAGACAAAACCTACGTTTATTGAGATACTGTATAATCCAGGTTGTGTCTAGGTCCACAGATAACAGTTCATACATCACAATGTTCACCTTGAGTATTTGCAATTGTCCTCTCAGAGAGGGGATGTAGTACTTTGTTGCATATACATTGCAATTACGATTTTAGCTTCCCAAAATTAAATGAAAATGATCGCCTTTGATATCGCTTAACATGCGTGCTCCGCTCATGGAAAACTCTGCTGCATATTACATCAAGTGCTTCCTAAACTTACAGCCAAGGGGCGATTTGGCTGCGTGCGCACCCTCCTGCTGCTACAGTCCCAAGAGTAGACAGTAAAGTCCATGAGTCCGCATGAGTCCGCTATGCCGGTGCTGGTCGCGGCCCCTCTAGTCAATGCTTGGGAGTCCATCAGACACAGCTGCAGCGTGTCCCAGAAGAGTGCCAGATGCAGCTCTCTGCTCAGCTCCGCGAAGAATACACGTCTAGTTTTGACTGAAGCCGCGTCAAGCTGCACAGAGCAGATGGAACTGGGCAGGAAGTCAGAAACAGCACGGCATCGATCTGGTCAATTTTCAAAATAAAACACTGTGCATACTCCCGATCATAAATCAACAAAAAACACAGTTAAATCAGACAAAAAGAACAATTTATTTACATAGCCTACTTAATCATAGAAGAAACACACAAAGCAAGTACTGATGATCAAATCAACAAAATCTAAACATGTCAGCAAAATCAAGCGGGCAATACGCTCTTACTCTGAAATGCTCCCTATGGCATATGCAGCCTGCAGACAACCGAACCATGCTGGTAAGCATGGTTCGGAGTAGAAGCACAAAAAGACAAAATAACAACAAGCCAACAATGTGCTCCGCTGCTGAAATGCGTCTGAGACGCTTCCAGTGGAAGTTAATTTGACCCCTTTCATGTGGAACCCCAAAGTGTTCAAAATTAAATTAATAAAGACATTAAGAAATTAATAATCATATTTATACATTCTGTTAAAAGCATAAATGAACCAACAGTTTGGGAAGATATTATTCAAACTCTATGATGAAATAGTTTTATTGGACATCTTTTGTTTTTGTTATTTAATTTTTTTTTCCCGAATGTCCTTTTTTCACATGTTTTTATTTCATATTGGCATTTTCCCCAATGACACTAATTTCATGTCACGTTATTTCATGTTGACTGTTGCCAACACCCTCTCACCTTTCAGCCAGTCATGTGCCCCCTCCATCTCTTAAGGAAGTTATCTCAATAACTGCAACCAAATGTAGCCTGTTAGCTAGAGCAACAACAAGAACAAATTCAGCTAACTAGCTTGGCCAGCAGCATGCGCACTTTTATTATTATTATTTCTCAACATCTAAATGAGCTGCTGTTAGCTAGCTCCTTTTGGCTTGAGTGACCGCAGAGAATGTCTCTGTTTTGTGTGTCTGAAGAACATGTTTAGAATCAAACTAGAGACGTCCGTCAACAGGTTTTTGTTTCGATCCAGGCCTACTCACATTAGTACAGGAGTACTCGGTACTCGTGGGTCAGACCGCACCCATCTTCAAACCCGGCCTTTGTTTTGGTCTCAACTACACACCTGTAAGATTTTATGGCTGCATCTTGTAAAGCTGTGACGCTATCGCTTTGACCTTGTTGTTGCTCTAGCTAACAAGTGCTAGCTTAATCGGGTAGCATTTGTTGAGCTTGCTTAAGAGCCAGGAGACGCGTGAGGCAGGAACAGCTAGGGGAGGGAATCTCTAGGCACCTCACGATGTGATTCAGAGGGCTATGATGTGAATTTTTGATGCATCAATATTGTTTAATTTCCATGCAGCGGGTTGTGGGGAGGGGGTTAGGGATTTAGAGGTTAAAATCCGATTGACTTTTCTGCTGTGAGACATGATCTTTCAAGAGAGAATCACTATGCATCTAAGAATCATTTTTCTTGCCCTCACCACTGGTGGCAGCACCACTCTCCCGAAAAGCAACATGAAATTAAACTTTTGTTGAGAGAAATTTGTAGTACAAAATAAAAAATAGACTCTTGTAAATGGGCGTTTTGAAATAAAAATGTATAATATGAAAGCATCTCCTGCAAAGCTGTTCAATACTTCTTCACATAATATTACTTATGCAGTTTAGCATGTTGGTCTCATGTCTGAGTAAAGTCAGAGTCCTTTGATGTTAAAATTACCAGCACCTACTAACATTTTCGTTTTAACTTTAAATGCGTGTCTTGGACTGAACCCCAAATAGCTCCTGAAGGCTGTGCCATCGGTGTGTGTGTGTGTGTGTGTGTGTGTGTTAGTTTCTTTCTGATGCATTTGTCACCTTGCACGGTAGCCTCTGCCGTCAGTGTATCAATATGTGTGAATGGTTGAATGTGATGTAGTTTAAGGCGCTTTGAGTGGTCGCAAAGAAAGGAGCTATACAAATACAGAGCATTTACAATTCAGTGCATTTTGGCTGCAATCACACATAATTTACATACATTATGTAAATTGACATACATGTGCTTAAATGATTGACTACTTATGATGGCACAGTTGAGATGTGCTCAACATTTTAAGTAGAGCATTTAGTCAGTAATCTTTATCTTTTATTACAGTGTGTCTTTGGCTGAACATCAACCAGTGTTTCAGCCATTAGTTCTTTGGTCTCTGAAATGTCAGAAAATGGTTAAAAATGTCGATCAGTGTTTCCCAAAGTCCCAGATGTTGCCCTCAAATGTCTCGTTTTGGCCACAACCCAAAGATATTTTGCTATCATAGCAGAAAACCAGAAACATTCACATTTAACAAGCTGGAACCAGAGAATTTAGAGGTTTTTTTTCTGAAAAAATTAAGCGTTTAATTGATTGTCAAAATAGTTGGAAATTAACAAGAACTAGAGTCACCAAGTCAGTCAAGACACTCGGTAATATAAGCAAGATGTTACAAAGCAACATCAACATTTTGCTAGGATAAGCTAACATTAGCCACCATAAACTACTGGTCACACCAGACCAACAAAGGATGTATCAGCAATTACCTGAGTGTATTGAATTGCTTATTTGTAACAGAAAGTTTGTTTATACAGCAAAAAATTTATTACATTGACCACTTTCTATCGCTATACAGAGCGAGTCCCTTCCAATCTACATGATTAAGTTGTTTGGTTTTAAATATGGCCACTGGAAGCCCACTGCTCTTATTATAAATGTTACATTTGTCTGCCACCTTTTCAGACAGAGAAATTTGGTGGATTACAGCCAGAAACAGGGAGAGGGCGCTATTTTTCCACTAGACACAGTGCTTAAACCATTGTGTCCACACTACTTCCTCTAAGCAGGTTTTGAGAATATGGTGTGTTCACTGTGGAGTGTGTCATTCTGTGTGCTGTTGATGGACACGTTTTATCATTTCCTGTTGAAATTAGGGTTTTTGTAATATGGCAATAATACAACAGTGTCATGTATTGTATATTATTAGTATATCGTGTATATCAGAGACACACAACTTGAGATCTTATAGTAATGGCAAAGATTGAGTGAAAAAGTACTTCTAAGAGTACATTTAATTTGATTGGACATGACTCCTAACACCTGGTTTCCACCTCTGCCTGCACCCCCGCAGCTCGAACTCACCCCAGCAGTACATGCACATGAGCAGCATGGTCCCAGCGGGTGGTGCCATGGCTCCTGCCCAGCCCCAGGGCGGCATGGCCTTTGCCCCACACCCTTCCATGATGAGCGTCGCACCACCTCCCCCACCCCCTGCGCCGCACAAAAACGAGGATGACGACGACGACGAAGACTATGACTCTTAGCTCCCTCCTCTCTCCTCCTCCACCACTCACCACACACACACTCTTTACGCATTATTTTTCGATTTGTTAAGTTGTTTTAGCGGCGGTCGCTCAAAGCAGAGGAGGGAAAGACTCTTCATCACAGCCCGCTGACAGAAAAGCCCTCGGCAGCCGGCTGTAAGGGACAGCACAACAGGAGACAGGAAACTGGTTGTATATTATGTGTTTTAATTTTCTTTTTTGTTGTTGTTGTTGTTGTTTTCTTTTAAAAGAAAAGGTTTTATTTTATTGTAGAGGAGAATCCAACGAGGATGTTTTTTAACAAGTCAGTCGTTCTATTTTGACTATTAAAAATGGCAGTCGTCACTGTTGCCATGCGCCCTCGCAGACAGGATAGGTGTGGTTTGTGTTGCCTGGTAGCTTTTTTTTTTTTGGCACTTTTCTTTCTTCCTCAGTCCTCTGTCGTAGACATTATGAAGTGAACACATCAGTCACTCAAACCCTCAGGTCGGCTGAAAAAAATCTAAGTGGTAGTTAAAGTCTTATTATAGCCTTTGATGCTCATACAAAGTTGAGATGAGTTCAGGGCAACAGTACATAAAGTATTTGGAAGGAGATCAGCACTTGGTCGAAGGGAAAGGAGGTCATCGACTCACCCATGAAGTGTTATATTACTAGGTTATCAATTGGCTATGAAATACCGCTAGTAAGATGTGAGCCCTACTTCTCGGCTTTGTCACAACTTGCTAGTCAGTCCAATTGTCAGGCTGTAACATAAACAAGGAAGCAGGTGTATTTTTACTCTACGTTAACTTAGCCACAGCTTTTTTGAATTAGTTTCTATTTTTAATTCACGTTTTTATCAAGAGAACTGTAAACCTTCACAACCACATCCCTGAGGTCAACCATATCAGCTGGTTATCGATTTACATTTTGTTGTTGTTGATTTTGACGCTGTCAGAGCCTATGGCCGTTTGGACCTCCCATATATTTCTTTACACGGCCATTAAATTCCCCTTATTTGCCCATCAGATGTATACTGTGACCCCTGGACCATAACTTTGTTTTTAAAGTTGTTTGTCTCCTTTTTCCTTTCTAATTTCTATTTTGGCCAACCCTCCAATTTTGAGTAACTTTCTCCTTTATCTTCAACATTTTCCCCTCTTTTAGCTTGTTTTAAATGTATCCATTGAAAGCAGAGATGGGGCTCCCATTTATGTGTCAGTCTCAGTATGAAATGTTCCCAAAAAGACATTTGAAGTTGACACTGTATTGTAAACTTTTAACATTCTTTTTATTTTGTATGGGTGAAATAAAGTTCATATTTCAATTAAAAAAAAGCAACGCTTGTTTTGGGTTTGTTGTGTTTTCCGTATCAGAGATGAATCGCCTGAACTGCTCTCCACATCAAGCAAATCTGCACCGGCGTTCGCCTTTATACACAGTTCTTTGTTTACCAGCTGGCAGGGCAAAACCTGACTCCTGCTGCATCTTGAAGCCACATATTTCAAAGCGCTTCTCCCTTCATTTTTCAATTTCACAGGTGTGGAACACATCCTTTGTAGTCCTGCCTCGATGCTGTGCCCCCTTGCACCTTCTGATTTCTTTGCTTTCTGTTTGCATTGTGAAAAGGTACCCCATGGATGCGTCTCATGTTCATTTACAGACCAATGACTTCTGCAACCTGAAAGACAAGGGCAGGGCATTTATCCTCAACATCGCAGCTTCCTCCTGGTATTTGAATCAGATAAGTACAAGACAGTACACGTTTGTGGAAAGGTGTTCACAGAGAGGCGATTGTTGCTGTCACAGACATATTGTAGAAACTAATTTCAGAGTAGCCGGCACACTGAGTGTGTCCAGCCTTTTTCTGCTTCCTCCTGCCCTCCTATTTTTTTTAAACAGTCCATTTGCCCCCCACCCACCCAACCGACCAAGCAACCCCGAGCAGAAAAAACAACTGCATCCTTCCTGCACAAGCGTTGACTCAGCGGACTGTGAGGAGGGTGGGGTTAGCTCTGTGTGTGTGTGTGTGTGTGTGTGTGTGTGGGGGGGGGGGGGGGGGGGGATGCGGTTCTGTTTAACTTTAGGAGGTTGGTGTCCAAACAAATGGCTGTCGTGGGGCAGGGAAAGGGGGGGCATCAAAGGGCTAACTGAAGGAAGCGCACTGTTTCCACACAGCAGCCGGCCGGGCCAAAGGTGACCACCTGATTCCCATCACCTCCGGTGAATTCTTTGACTTTAAGTGCTCTGCACCTTTGGAAACATGGGAAAAAGGAATTCCCTGACCTTTTTCAAGAATAAAAGCCATTCATTGTGTGGTTACTTAGAAAAACAAATGTTTAAAATGCACCTTGTGTTTTAGCCATGTTGTGGCCTTGATCAGAAGGCACTGTGGGAACCAGCTCATTAACATCTGTACTTCAGGCCATTTGCTATTTTGAAATACCTTTTCGAGCATTATGCCCCTTCTTCACCATGGTAGTTGATATGTGGGATATTTTATCGAATTGTATGTACTAATAAACACAATGCAGTAAGGCATGGCTAATTTTATTTATATAAAAATCGCACATCATATTGTACAGGGGAAAACTCATCACACCTTATATACTAATAAAAACCCTTCTGTCAAAACAAGCACACAGGAAAGAGTACATAAACTGTTCAATGATTCAGCCTTGCCAGCGGCTCTGTGAGGCTGCAGCTAAATCATTATTGATGATATGATGGTATGTCATTAGCTTTGCAGGCATTTAGTTGGGTACTTTCAAAATCTAGCTGTGTCTGGCTAGTTCTCCGAGTATTTTTAAAGTATTGGTGTGTGTATCCAAAGCCGGATAGACCTTATTACTCTGTAACTATAGAGCTCTATTGTTCAAATGTAAACTAGGTTATCAATAAACATATTAAGATTATGATCAGTGTGTCATGTTTCTAATGGGACTCTGTGGCTCTTGTTTGAAATTGTAATCTTGGGATTTAACTTGATTTAAGAATGTTTTAGCTGGTATGGAAGTCCATTTCCACCAAGAAAAGAAAACATGATTCTAAAAGTTATGAATTATAAAAATATTAAATATACAAAATTATTTTAACTTAGGGGAGAGCCGGGACAATTTAAATGTGGGACGAATGAACACAGCATTTTTGTCCGAGCTTATATAAGTCTGATTATGCCAAACAACCTCAGCACGTACACGGTACTTACAGGGACCGTGAAAAATCCGGTGGATACGTCACGCTTTTATGGAGTTATACGGAAGATGCTGTTTTCAATCACGGAAAGTAAACTCACTCAAGCGGTCTTTTTTTTTTAATGACAATTTGTGTTTACTGTTTCATGTGCCATGGACATTATCACACGACAGATCAACTAGTATTTTAACACCAGTGTTGTGAGTAACGCGTTACTAAAGTTACGGAATTACAGAAATGTATTGCTTTTTGCTGTAATGCAGTAATATAACGCATTACTAAAAACAAATCGGTGATATTATACCTGTTACAATCTAACTAACGTGCGTTACAACCCAGTTTAACCCGAAATTAAGTGGAGAAACGTTTCGGCACCAGAAAAACAAATCCAGGAGTAAAAGAGTAACGTTATTTCCTGTTGCTGAGATTGTAGGCAGGGTGCAAACTACGAGTGAGCTCGGCTCTTCTTAACAAAACGGTAGCTCCTCTGATGGATCATGAATAAATAGATTTGTGTTTGTGCTTTAACGATTTACTTTCATGATCAGAGAGGCTACTTACTGTCAGGTCATCCTGACCGATCCTGTCGGAGTGTCGGGAGATTCAAATAATCAATGACATTATGGCTGTACCTCTTTCTTAATGGGGAGACGATTCATTCTATTTCACCAATCTGACTTACCATGAGTACTGTATTTTTTAACATCTTAATCATGCATACATTTGTTTTCTCAGTGGAAATGGGCTTCCATAGGCTGCTGTACTCGCTATGGTAAATCTTATCAGAGGAGGACAAATTTGCAGGCTTTTCACAAACATTGCATCAGAAAGTAGATAGTAGCAGGTCAAAGTGAACTGAATTGTTGATTCAGTTTAGAAATGAGTCTGAAGGAATAGTTTGCACATTTTGTATTAAGACAATCTGCTGTACTCTTGTGCTTTTACAACAGAAAGATCCTGGAATAAAACTTTTAAATGAGCTACAATAGACTTAAACTCTAAAGTAGAATAGGGCACCAGTAAATCCACAAATGAGTTGCTTGAAACTTTTTTTTGGTTCAAAGTAACACCAGCCAAAAGAAAAACTTCCAAGCTGTCTCCCCACAGAAACCTATCAGCAGCACTTTATCCTCTTTTCTTTGACCACGGGGACAGTTTTAATGAACTACGGACCTTGAGTATTTGATCTAAATGTCACTAAATTGGAATATCTCAGCAGATTCAACAGACACTTAACTGTGTATGAAATAACACAACTGTAACATACATTAGGCTACTGACATGCTGAAGACAACAACTGGGCATAAAATGTTGAAATTGCGGTCTCCTCCAGGCTGCATGTGAACGTGTGCTTGGGCAAGATACTGAGCCGCCAGTGTATGAATGTGTGTGAATGGTGAATGCAGATGCAGTGTAAAAGTGCTTAGAGTGGTCAAAAAGACTAGAAAGGCGCTATACAAATAGGGAGCATTTACAAATCTAATGTTATTTGTATATGAAAATTATCGACAAAAGGTTACCACTGTTACCACTCTGTCAAGTGAGCCATAATAAACAAATATGATTTCTGGGGTGAATTTCAAATAAATAATAATAAAGGCCAGATTACACTGTGCCATGTTGTTAAAACTGTAGTTAATAACAATAGAACTATGAAAATAAGTGTTTTTACTCCCAAAATGTCAGACTCTCTTCATAAAAATATGAATCTACTCATGTCAACTCTACAATAGCCTACCAATGTAATCGAAAGGCAACGGATTTTATTTTAATTTGAAAGTTAACACTTCCCCTACATTCTGCTAGCTTGACGCACCTTCAGGCCCAGTTGCAAAAGACTCATCATAAATACATAATATACAGTGTGTTAGTGGCCTTTCTGTAAAAATGTATTGACTAAATGATTACGTATCATGTCATCAGAGTTGGATAGCGTTTGTCCTCAGTGTTATATTAATCAGGGATATAAACAGAAGTCAGTGTTTACTCATTTGATTCACTGCATTGGTTACACTTTGAGTAAGAAAATACTATTTACATTTTTTGTATGAACTACTGTTTACTTTTTTCTCATGCAAACTTATATTGACCCCTTAAATGAAAACTTTTGCAAATAGCATTTAAATATTCCTCTCAACACGAAAGAAGTGCGCTTGTGTCCGAGTTTTATTTTGACAGTCATAACCGGATATGCCATTCTGTGTGGTGTCTAGCGTGACCGCGGCCTGTCATCTGACTCTTTTCCTGTTGGGAGAGAAAAAGTTTTGAAACCCCACCCTCTCTGCTGACTGCTAAGCGCAGACGTAGAAGTGGTTCGAGGTCCTGGCGACTGAACACTGACCGAGGAAAGGAATATTATAATAAGTCATGATGGAGTTATTGCGCTCTTTGGATACGGATACCGACTATAAGTACAGACCCGCCGAGCGGGACCAGGGCACGCGCTGGTTCAATTAGGAACTATCCGGGATTTGTTTTTACTGCGTGTTTTATGAAGTAAAGTAAAGCAGGTTTGGAGAGCTCTTCCTGTTACCGTTCCTGAGTTTTTATGTTGCGATAGAGCCCAGCGCGTTGTGTGCTTCTGATAAGACTGTAAGTATGGACACTCTGCCGCAAAGGGATGCGGGATTTCCTGCGGTAGCGCCGCAAAGTTGCGGTCAAACACGTTTATTGGCGATTTGGTCCTAATAATGCGAACTGGTCAGCCCTGAAATTTGTCATAAAACACTGGTTGGCTGAACTGAAAGCTCCTTTCCTGCTATTCTTCTCTGCCTCTCCGCGCTTCCTGCTTGTGGTGGCCACTGCGCTTAATGGCTAAAAATACATAAAAAAAAAAATCTAAATGGACCGCTAAATGTAGTGGGAACCTTCATTTGGAGTTGCAGTTGCAACACGTGTGCTTTGGACACTTTTATTTTTGTCCTTAAACTTTTAGTTTTGAAAGTCAGAGCTCAACAGGTGGCGCTTTTAATTGAGGAAAGAGAAGAGCTAATTTACCCATAATAAGGTGATTCGGAACAAGAGCCTCTTAAGTATAGGCCGGTGAAATGATATTGTGCTCTGACCGAGTTTTGGGAAACCACACACCACATCACTTGAACAGAGAGAAATTCAGTGGAGACTGTGCTGCCTCTCTGGGCTTTGGAACACTTAATCAAACAAAAGCAATCGCTTGACTGATCCTGCATTTTCACATGGAGAGCGCTGCGTTTAAAGTCAAAACGAATGAAAGACACTCGCCTTTCAATTATCTTTGAGTCCTCTCCTGTAGCCCACTTGTTGGTCAAGCTTTTGAACACATTTCACTGGTCCCTGATGAACCAACAAGAAAGACAGGAAAGGGAGCGAGGAGCAATAAAGTACTCTTTTGTACTTTATTTTCAAACCCTTGGGGTGCAAAATCAGATCCAGTCAAAACATCTGCTTGAGGCTCCATGGAGCCACTGAAGAACATATTATGTCGTGGCCCACTGTCAAACTGGAAAAATTTGGAGCAGTCACAAAAAGGGAACTTCACTAACCCTGTGTGGACAGCCTTATTTGACTATGAGGCGTCCTGTAAAGATGAGCTCACCTTGCGTAAAGGTGACCTGGTGGAAGTCCTGTCTCTGGACTCTGAGATATCAGGGGACGAGGGCTGGTGGGCGGGTAAGGTCAACAACAAGGTGGGCATCTTCCCGTCCAACTACGGCTCCTTCAAGCCAAATGGCTACGGGAAGCTTCCGGGCAGCGCTGTGGTCAGTGAGCTTGGTCCGGCTGTGGTGGGCGAGTTCGAACCCGAGGCGGTGGATTTCCGGGAGCTGAGCCTGGAGGAGGTCATCGGGGTCGGGGGATTTGGGAAGGTGTATCGCGGTACATGGAGAGGCAGGCTGGTGGCGGTAAAAGCCGCCCGGCAAGACCCGGATGAGGACATTAGCGTGACGGCGCAGAATGTCAGGCAGGAGGCCCGTTTGTTCGCCATGCTCACTCACCCCAACATCATTGCGCTGAAAGGCGTCTGCCTGCAGGAACCCAACCTGTGCCTCATCATGGAGTACGCTTCAGGTGGGGCGCTGAGCCGGGCGCTGGCTGGGCGTCGCATCCCGCCACACGTCCTGGTCAACTGGGCCGTGCAGATAGCCAGAGGGATGTTGTACCTGCACAGTGAGGCCATCGTCCCCGTCATCCACCGGGATCTCAAATCCAACAACAGTAAGTCCATCAAGCCCGCATTGTCATTCATGGCAGTGACTGAACATGTATAATACTGTATTTAAAGCGGCTAAGGGCTTCTCTCTGTGTTTACAAGGCCATATCAAGAACACCACACTGTAATGCCTGTGCTCCAGTAGAATTATTAACTCAAGCATATCATTAGTCTGGGAAATTGAAAAATCTCTTTACTTTTGAATCTGGACCATAACTGGCACAGTCCAAGTCATTCTGTAGGGGTAATATATCAGTCGTATCTACAATTAGAGTTAAAGATCATTACAAAGCTTTAAGAAATAAGACTGTGGTACAACAACACATCTTTTTGGACCGTAGCCCAGTCGTGACTCTGAAAGGTAGGCCAAGGCTACAGAGGCTGAAAGGCCTGCAAATATGTGTTGTTGATGGGCCAAAAAAATGCCATGCATTGCTAGGAAAGGTCAGGAATTCAAGCTTTCCGTTTCAGCACCGTCACACTTTGGACTTTGATGTCGTCTGGGGGAAGCGGGACAGGTCTTGCGTCAGTGTTACGGGCGCTCGTGGCAGACACGTACACATTGGACCTTGTCATTAAAGCTACACTGCAGAGGGATTTATCACTGATGAAGCTTTCCGCCCGACCCCCTTTTTCAAGTGAAAGAAGTGTCTTTCTCAGCTCTAACAGTGCTTTTAGCCACCTGAATTTTACAGCAGCCTCCCCTCTGTTATTATCATTCTTGGGATGCAGCATATAATCCCCGTCAGCTCTGCGGTTGTATCTGTTGCTGTCCAAAAGATTTTCAACCTCCCTCAGCTCATCCTGTCTTTTACTGCAAATCCTGATTGCCAAAGTACACCACAATAGAAAGAGCTCATGGTTGCTCCTTGCTTAACTTGGAACGACTGACACCGCAAAAAAAAAAAAAAAAAAAAAAGAGTCAGTACTGTAGGTTCTGAGAATATGACCTTGGTTAGAAGCACCGGAAGGTTAAATCCTTTGATTCTCGGTTTGTTAAAAGCTAAGGATCCCTATTCAGCACATCTTAAGAATACCTGTCTCCCAGGCTACTTTCAGCATTTCCATTTTTTTCCCCTTGAGCAACAACTGTTTCAATTGTTGACCATCCACCATTCCTCTTCCCATTCCCTCAAGCAGCTGCTCATACTCCACCCGTGGCTTCTTCACCCTTGTGTCACGTTCTTTCCTGGTAATACCTCTCCACTGGAAAAATGTCTCCTGCAGCAAGAAAATAGAGTTATGTTAATATTGTGTTTGTATATCAGGCAGGCCAAAGTGAACACAATCCCTTTCTCTGTGTGCCGGGAGATTGTATCACTCTAGTGCCTCCTGCCTTCTTTTTGTTTTTTTTTTATTCTTCTGAATCTGTCCCTAGCCTGCCCCTACATGTCTCAATACAGCCATAACCCTGTTGTGCCACTGAGCAATATCCTGTTGTGGTAGTGGAAAGGGGGGCGGGCGGGCGGGCGGATGGGTGTGGGGGGTCATTTCAGCAGTTTGCAAATAATGTGCTGCTCTGTAAAAGTGAATTGCTGGCAGGTTTAACGCGCAGGTACAAAGAGCATCTGAACATAAGGGCATTTTAAAGGATAAATGCGCCCTGTCACTGCTTTGCCGATGATGGGGCAGTTAGTTTGACTATACAAGATGTACTAAAGCATCAATGGTAAACCTCAGAATACAGCGTCAGTTCCTCAGAATCATGGTGCAAGTTCTTCTTTCTAGGGCTGCCATTTTGCATCGGTGCTCTGCAGTCACATGGGGGGGAATCTGTAAACAAGGAGGTGGAGAGACCTTTTTTTTTTTCCGATTGTAGCCTCAAGTGGACCATAATCCAATGGGGCAACAAGATGTGGCCATTGCCAGAAATGTAGAAAACACTGAAGCAATAGTATAAGAGGGAGGTTGAGAATTCCCCCCAAAACAAAAAATATCTAATTTACTCTTTTACCACCTAACCAAAAAAAGAAAGTGACAACCAGCACATTACTGCATTAAAACGAGCATTGCTTTAGGGCCAGCTGTGACAGTGACGGATTAAGGGCTTGTAAACAAGAGCTAAAAGTTGCAGCTAATGACCAGCTGAGCACATTGGCCTGGTTGGAAGATGCTGGTTAAACAGGATCATTGGAGAACGTGCAAAGTGGGGCACAGAACAGAAAGCAGAGGAGCCTACTTCTCTTAACTGTCATGCCTATAGATAAATCTGGTGTTGAAAGTTTGGGATTATTCACACCTTATGCACTCAGTCATTTTCAGTTTTGAGTAAGACTAGTGTTTCAGTGTGTCATGGTTGTGTAACTGAGATGAACTGATGTCTGACTGAAAATAAATAGCCTTTTTTTTTATCCCTGCTGCAGCCCACAGATCTGCTTTGTAAGCTGTATGTCCTGTTCTATGTTTTGAGTAAAAATGATCTACTTCAGAGCGAGGGTACATTTTCACTTGGCAGACGCTTTTATCCAAAGTGACTTATATTTGAGGAGCAACATACAAGCATCAACAAAGCATCAATACAGCAAGAGATCTACACGTGATAATGGATACTAGTAAGAGCTAATAGCACGTATGGCATCAATGGGGTAAATACCAAGGGAAAGAAAGGCAGGCTGGAAAAACTAGCGACATACAGCTAGATTTGTTCCATTTGACATGAAAAGTCTGAATTTCCGAGTTCCCAGTTGGAAATTTCAGTTGGAACGCCCCTTTTGTCGGATTTCAGACTCGGAAAGTCGTGAGATCCTTACCCAACCGCAACCTCAAAATCCAAGATGGATGTTCTGAGTATCAACAGTTGTGAAAGCTGTAGTAGTGAACTGTTAATCGCACTTTGATCTTATTTATGATTTTAACATTAAATCAGTCGTAAACACAGTACTGTCTAATTTATATCTGTGTACATGGAATACAGCATTATTACAGTCCTGCGACAGCCGCAGACAATTTGTCAAATTAATTTAAAACCACTTTTAATTGCAACAACGGGGGACCATGTGTAATTTCCGGTGGACTTGCAATAGATTTATTTTTTTTGGTCACTAGTTGGACAGTGGAACAACTTCTAAAGACAACATGTCCGTTCTTTATTCCTTGACAGGTAGCCTACAGTGAATCCAAACTGTAAAGTTGTGGGCCATAAACCCAAAACATTGAGCTATAATTAATACATCAACTTATCGTTTTGCTGCAGCTACAGTAATAATCTTGCTCTCATTAACAACCTTCAAAAGCTCAAGCTTCAAGCTTCAAATTCAATTCAACTGTTGTCCTTACCTTGTCAGATATCGTCCCAAAACCTTCATAGACCCAGAAACAGCTACAGGCATCACCACATGCCATAAAACTCTGCAGAGGCTTTAGTTAGAACTGGCGGGGAAAGTGCCAAGCTAAGCACTTGCTGGGCTGGAACTCACAGGCCCTTTTTTATTCAGATAGAAGCCGCAGTTAGATCTTGGATCAACATGGTTGTTTTTTTGTTGGTTTTTTTTTTTTCAATCTCCATGAGTAGACAAACATCTGATACATCCTCTCTACCAGCATGTTTTCATTCAGGGACCCCAGTGCCCCACACTGCAGCACACTCAAAACATCCCGTATGTGTGTCTGAGTGTCCCAGCGGCTGGGTGTGTGATGTTTGCATGTGTGTGGTGAACTGCACTCCCGTTAACCACCACCATCATTCCCCTTTTCAGCGGGGCGAATCATGGGGGCAATTTAGACATCTTAGCCAGTTTGTGATTGTACAGAGCTATTTAGTGAAGGGAATGGTGAGATTTTAAGCCTGATAAAGTCTGCACATGCGCCACGGCAGCCAAATTTTCATTTAAGGTGTAGCTTAGGTGATAAGTGAGCCTATAATCCCTGTAGCGGGCCGTTAGAGAGAAATATCACAATGAAAATTCCTATCTACAGATGGAAATTGAGCAGTGAAGAATGTCAGTAAGGCTTGGCATTTGCTGTCGTTTTGCCAGTCAAATCGTTTTATTGGCTGCTACATATGCTTCACTTCAGCAGTTTATGTGTAGGGAAGTGGTGCTGTCTTTTTCAAAACAGCACAAACATGTTGCTTTTGTGGAATGACAAGATATTTCTATTCCTGTTGAGTTATAATGTCTTACAGCCATGAATCACATATAAAACAAAACATATTGTATTAAAGTAATCAACGTTCTCATCCAAATAAACTCTTTATCTTCAGCTGAGAAAAGATAATTTGATCCGTTGTCAAGTTATAAATGCTTTTATGATTGCTCTTTAAACCATGGACTGTTGAAAACCATGCCCATAGCATCTGTGACATCACCCATAGGTGTACTACTTCCTGCTGTCTTGATTTTTGCTGCCAACCAAGGCCTTAATAGCCTCATAGCTTTGTTAAGAATCACTGCCCAGACAAACTGTAGAAGAAAGGGATTTGAGGTCTTTAGAAAAGGGTATTGAAACCAGCATTTTACTCAGTGTCCGTTAGAGAAACTATAGGCACTTAGTCATTGGCTTAGACATTCAGCCATTAAGGCTGTTTGTCCAAACTACAAGGCGCCACTTATGTAGATTTCAGATATAAACCACTGCACTCCTGGGGCCATTTCACAGAAAGCTCCTATCTTAAGTCTTAAGTTAAGATAGGAAGAGTCGAAGATAGGATTTTTGCCAAGTCTGTATTAAAGAAGCAAGTCCTAATTTAAGATTGGAAGATAGGAGTGTATTACAAAAGCATCCTAACTTTGGTAAATCTTAAATAAACTAAGCATAACTGTTAAGCTGTCCTAACTTTTATTTTTCCACCAGGTATTGCTTGATAACTTTTTGAATCCACATGGCTGCTCTTTTATTGCTTTTACAACATCAACAAAATGTCAACAGGCGGAACTTATTCATTGACCCTACCGATGCGTTTTATTACTGTAACGACCCGGCTCTCAAGATGCAACAAAGAAGGAGGACGCAACGATCAGCTCCTTGGTTTTGCTGACGTTGAGCAGTAGGTTGTTCTCTGAGCACC